CAATAAAATAAAGTGTCTGTGTAACCTAGTGGTAGCATATTCTGTGCACTAAAACTCGTATTGACATCCATGTGGGTGTTCAAGGCATGGAAGGCATGCAGGATAGGACACTACAAACACATCTTGGCTGTGTATGTTTTTTTCCTAAACCACAGTGTAAGGTTACATATGACTTACACAGCAAAGTAAGTCACTGCTTTCTTAGTCAGCAGGGCTGAGCAAATGTGTGCTACTGTTAGATTTATGTTAATATTTACATGAATACATTTAAGATTAAATTATCTGTATGCTTTATGTAAAATGGCTTAAATTCTCAGTTTACATATACTTATACAGTGTTTAGTGCTGTATAAATTAGACTCAAAATGGGGCAAAATCAATCACTGCCTTACAGTGAAATATGGCCAGTGAAAGTGACTTGGACTTTCCTTCCTCTGAAACCCAAATGTCTTCAATATGTGCTCCACAATAGAGCTGGTCAAGTATTTTCCATTAAAACATACTGGATAGAAAATTGGGTTTTTGATTAAATGGAATTTGCTTTCTACAGAAAATTTTGATTTTTTTTATCCAAATAGCAAATGTGCAAAAATCTAAATATTTTTATTTGGAAATGCTGCTATGGCGCATCATGGGCACTGTTGTTTGGTTGCTTCATGTCTCCATTTTCCTCAACAGGCTGGGGTCACTCCATGGCCAAAATACATCTCCCATGATCCATCACATCCGTTCTCCAACAGAGGAGACCAGAATGCATCATGGGAGATGTAGTCCTATCAGTGCCTGAGCCCAGGATATTTTCTCTTTATTCCTGCCAGTCTGAGTTCTGAGCTACACCTAAAACTGAGGTCAAGCTAGCTACATCACTCAGGGGTGTGACAAATTCACAACCCGGACAGACGTCGTTAAGCTGACCTAAGCCCTGGTATAGACACCGCTAGGTCAATGGAAGAATTCTAGCTACTGCCTGTCAAGGGGGTGGATTAATAACTACAGCTATGGAAAAGCCCCTTCTATTGCTGTAGGAAGTGTCTATGGTACGGTGCTACAATGGCGCAGCTGCAGCACCGGAGCTGTGTTGCTGAAGTGTCTGTAGCATAGACAAGCCCTGTAAAGGAATCCTTGGTTATCTGAAGTGTGCCAGGGTTTATACGAACCTACGCGGCGTTAGAGGGAGCCTGATGCTCAGAGTCCCCACAGTGCATTGGTACACAGACTTAGCCTGCTACTAGCCATGTAGAGGGGCCTACCAGTGATACCCTGTACTGGGGGGCTGGTTATACTCTGACCATCCATTGTTTTGGACTTCTCCGATGCCTGCAGCCCAGTTGCTGCAGGGAGTCCAGGGGCCAAAGCTGCAGGAAGCATGTTTGGAGTATCCTTTTACTCTTTGCTTCAGACTTTAATTAGCCCCCCCAGAAGCCTGTTTCGTCTTTGCTGCCCTTGCCTTTACTGCTCTCAACCTATGTGCTGCGGGCCAGAAGTTCCTCAGTGACAGCCAGGTATGCTGTACGCTCCAGGGGCTGAAGCAGCACCTCACCAAACAGGTGGGCCCCTGGTAGTGGCAGATGAAACTACACCATGGAGAACATCAGATGCACCTCATGGTGTCTCTGAGGCTGACAGCTGTGGCATTATTCGTGGGGTTTAGCCCCACTGGCCTCCAAAGACAAGCTGACAATAAATATTTTTCTATAAAAAGTGAATGGTTAGAGCCCTGACAACATAAAGCCTGCCTCATGGACTGACCTCCTGGCACAGGTGCTGGAGTTAGCAATTTCTGTAGTTCCAAGAGGCAAAATTCTAAGAGAAGATTGACTTTAACATTGACCTTACGGAGAGTAACAAGGTGGTCTGCTAGCACTGGATTTTCCTCTCCTAGTCTTTGATGGAATCACTCCTGATACTCCTTTTAGAGACTATTTTGTGTTAGTTTCTAAAGGATTCAGAGAGGCTCTTCCAAGAAAGTGCTGTCATAACTGGAAAGTGTTTTCAACATGTGGTCATGACCACAGAGCTATTCAATAATAATTCTGTTCCAAAGGGCCCTTCCTCTATTTGGTATATAGAGGCAGGGTGCTGAAACTTGCAAGAACCTTGCTATTTGAACACCATTGCCAAATCTCATGAGTCTTGTGATATTTGATGTTTTTCTTAAAGCCCCAGCTCCTGGAGTCATGTGACTTAGGTGAGGATCACAGCCTTAATTTTTTTTTACAAGTAATTTTCTGGCTTTTATGGTTGAAAACTTCAAAATGTGACCCTGAGTGCACCCTAAAAGTTAAAAAACCAGAAGACAATAAAATGAACCCCATATCTACCATTTAAAAAAAAACAATGATTTTTAATGTAATCGATCATGATTTTTTGAGGCCTAACTCATGATTTTTGTAATCTTGGGGCTGGCAATGCTATGTCAGTGCCTATTTGCAAGGAGGGAACAGTCAGCTACGAGACATGAGAAGGAAATGCTTCATGCATCTGTTCACCCTGCCAGGGGCAAAGGGAAACAGGGCCATGGGTTTTACTGAGTGTAACTGTAATTTAAAGTCAGCTGCACCATTTTTGCTCAAATCGAAATTTTTTAGGGACCAGCAGGATAGTGCTAAACTAAATGTACAATTTTTAGAGAATGGTAGGTAAGGTTCGGAGTCGCTCTAACTTTCACTGATAGCTTAGCAGTCCCGGAACCTTTTCTCAGGATCTGTGTATCAACAAATGATTATAACATTTGTATTGTATCGTCCATGAGCAGGCAGTATGGCTGGGGTCAGATGGAGGATACAGGACTTAGAGTCAGACTGGGTTACCCACTCTGCCATTGACTTGCTGAATAAGCCTTGGGCAATTTGTTCACCTGCTCAGTTTCCCCCGTGGGGATAAAGATAATCCGTGTAAAACATCTGAGTTCTATAAATGAAACAGAATGGGTTTCTATGACTTGGTTTCACTGCACCTGGACCCTGCAGCATATCCAGTGATTAGTGCACTTGCATGAGGACAAACTGCTTGAGTTTCAATCCAGGTGATACTAACATCATGATGAAGACACCTTGTACAAGTGGGAGATGATATCTGCTCCTTTGGTTGAGAGACTCTGCCTGTCTTTTGTACTCATATTCACAACTTAGTGGTTTCACTGGATCTCCCACTATTTCTGGATGCCCAGGTAGCAACAGTAGCCATAAGGAAATTCCAGATCCAGAACTGACTTTCTCTGTTGATCTGTGACTGACTTCATGTATTGACCTTCAGGCCAAGCTGCATAGGTCATCTATTCTCCTGGGTCAAGCTCAAGGTCTCAGTCTTCTCCTGCCTGCTGGCCCCACCTCCCACAGTAAATAGCTTGGGCCTACCTCTGACTCCAGGATCTTGACCAGCACTGACAGCTCTGCTCTTTTGGTACAATGGAACTGTCTACTGCAAAGCTGAAGAGCAGAACTCTGAGCTTCCTCAAGAGCTGGTCCAGGTCTCTGGGATTCGCCTCCGCAGGAACTGAGAATCACCTCAAACTTCACCACTACTCAGTACAAGGTATATCTCAGCAAATCCCATAAGCAGATGAATAACTCTGAGCATGTGAGTTGTTCTGCTGAGGACCAGGGCCTGAAAGAGCACTTCTTTGGCATTGTCTTCACAGATACGTGCGCACACACATAAATTGAAAAAAAAAATCCCAAGTGCCAAGTAACCCTGGTGCAAAAAGATGGAGAAGAGGCAACACACAACAGATGTGAGTCACTACTTGGAAGTCAATTCAGTATCATGATGATGGGCACAGTCTGTGAACCAGAATAGGAAAGAATGGATCAATGGGGGGGGGGCAGGGAGAAATAAAGCCCCTCTCCCCTTCCCATCTGGTAGTTAATGGAGCTTAGAATTTGTTTCATGCCTTTGCCCTTGAGCAGTGGGAGGGTTATTCTGGGGATGTCCGTGGATGAGTATGGTCTCTTTATCCCTGTCCATTGGGATGAGAGGAAGGAACCTACAGGAAAGTCTGTGGGGGACAGAGGGCTCTTTCACCAGTAAATGAAGCTCCAATCTAGCATACGACTTCCTGTTTTTTCTTCAAGCTATGGATGTTTTTCTCAAAGGTAGGCGCTGGTTCAAACAGGAACTAATTGAGGGAAGTCTGACAGCTTGTGGTACACAGGAGGTCAGTCTAGACTATCCCAGCGGTCCCTTCCGACTTTATAATCTATCCATCTATTGCTCGATGGGGAAATGGGTGACCTTTCTGCCTCAGAGGCTCCACGGCAGTCTGGGGCCAAGAGTGGGTCCTCGCTAACGCCTCCGCAGTGCCCTGAGCGTGGGCCCACCTCCCCTCATGATTGTCCTCGCACAGCCGTTGCCAGTGTTGCGTCCTTGGGGGAGTCCGCTGTGACCAATTACACTCTAGACAACCCGTCTATTTTTCTTCCACCCAAGGCCAGCCAGGACGCTCTCGACCTAGTGAAGCTCATTAGGCTGCGCGTGAGGAACGCTGCAGCCAGCGGAGGGGGGGATGCTGGCCTGAGTCAGGCCCTGTGCGTGCTCTTCGCAGCCCCTCTTTGGCACGCCACTTCCATCTGCACCCCTGGAGGTCGGGGACCTCTGTCTGTGTGTGTGTGTGAGAGAGAGAGAGAGAACCAGAGCCTTGCAGCCTGCAAAGAGCAACCAGCCCCTGTCCTCAGTGACCAGCCTCCCCCAGCTGTTGGAAGCCCAGCGCCCCCCAGGGTGGTGGCTGTCAGCCTCTGCCAGATCCTCGAGCTGATAACGTGCTGGCTCCATGTCGTGGCTTCTGGCTGCCCAGGCTCCTCCCCTTGTGGGGGTGTGTGTGTGTGTGTGCGCGATGCTGCCGCCGCCGGTGCTCTGCCTGCCTCTCCCAGCCAGGCTGCTGGCGGCGGCCGGAGCGAGCAGCGGCGGGTTCTTCGCTGTGCGAGCAGCCTCCAGCCTGGCTTAGTGCGAGCCGGGGGGGGAGGGTGGGACGGGGTGGGGGGGGTGGGGTTGGGGGAAGACAAGTCACCTTGTGCAATTGCTGCCTATGCTGGCCGGCCACTTCTAGCCCGGCTGGGGAGGGCAGGGCAAGGGGGGGGGGCAGTTCTGAGTCTCCCCCATCAGATCGGGATGGATCTATTCGACTTTTTCAGGGACTGGGACTTAGAGCAGCAGTGGTAGGTTTTGATTTTCTTTTTAATACCAATATTCCTCTCCCCCTCTTCCTCTCCCCCCGCTGTATTTTAGCCTTTGTTGGAAGGATAAAGCTCCCCCCCCCTCCCCATCCTTGCTCACTTGCTTAAACCACCTACGGATTGTGGCTGGGTTGTGACTTGCTGTCGGGAAGTGGGATGCGTGGCTGTAATATACAAGGACTTTTTTCTTTTCCTTATACTATTGATGCTCCAAGTTGAAAGAGTGCAGTGGAAACGGGGTGGGGGGATTGCCATGCATTGATGTTAGGGAGAAAAGCCATGCCTCCCCCATCCCCCTGCTCCTGGTGGGTTTTATTCATTAACCGCTTTTGCATGCCTTTGACTGGCAGGGACACCTAGTATTTCCTTGGATCGATGGGTTAAGTTGGATAGATGGGTGGCTAACCCTTGCAACGTTTAAACACAACAGAAACCCAGCGAATTAAAGAGGGAATATTTTTTTCCCCAAGATCGTGGCTTATCTAATGTACTGTTTACTGCTGTCAGTGACAGTATTCCCCCTCATTATGAGAAATGCCACTGTAGTTTCCCTGAATTGCACGGTTTAAGTATGTGTGTGTGTGTGCGGTTTTTTTTTTTTTTTTTAATTTTGCTGCTGTCCTACTCAAGGTAAAGCATTATTATTGAAGTTAGTCTTGGAAGAGGAAAGATCAGTCCCAGGTGATATTTTATAATAGGTCTGAGGGGTTTTTTTTGAGGGGGGGACACTTTAGGTTTTATTGCTTGGCAAACGGGCACTCGCCTTGGGAAGGTTGGTGCATCAGTCTAAAATATTGTAAACTTGTTGTAAAAGAGTCAATGTGGAGGAATTTTTCAGTGGGTGACCAGTGGCGGAAAAGTTGTTGTTTGTGTAGTATTTAACTTTTGTTGCTTCACATGGTCTGTTAATAGGAATATGATTTTTTTGGTCTTTGTTGTGGCATAGTGCATGTTTTATTTTTCTCTTCACTCAGAATAAATTAGTTGCTTTTTTCTTACCGTGTCTGATAGAATTCAAAATTGGTTACTGGATGATTACATATAGTTAGGCTAGCATGCAGTTTGACAACAAGGAAAGAGAATAAAATACTGTATTTGCAGCCCTCATCTCTGAATGCCCATACAGACATGTGTATGTCTGTGCACACTGCATGTTCTGCACAAGGGTTCACTTTACTTTATTGATATTTTAAGCAATGCCTGTGAAAAAGAGCATATCTGTAGCTAACAGCTATCATTGTGCCAAACATATTGTATCTGCTCTAGTTGAAAACCCAAAATAATCAGAACTCAAATACCTGTCACGTTTTATTTTACAGCAATTTAGAACTAAATCCTCGGAACCATAAATTATACTATATCAATATTAATCTGTTATCAGGCGTTTTGGATCTTGTGCTGTGTTTTACCAGCTCTGCATAAACCAGAGCTTTATGCGTTAGATCGTTTAATAACCATGCTGCTGTTGTTTAAAAAGTAATAATCACAATAAAATTAGTGCTCAATTAAATATTACGCTCTGCACACTATCTTTACTCTGCTACACTAATTTATTTTGCAGACAACTGATAACCACTGTATTACTATTCAAATAGTATTTGCATACAATTTGCCTAATTTATGGTGTGGGTAACATCATTAATTTAATAGAAGCTGTTACAACTGAATATGTGGGTGTAGTTCAAATACTAAGTACATTTCAGATATTGAGTTTAATGTTTGTTTAATAACTTATTTTCATCTGAATATGGTCTTATGTACATTTAGTGATGTCCCTCCCCTCCCTTCCCTCACAAGGAAGGAAAGTCTTGTGTCTCTGTCTTTGCATAAAATATTAATAATATATTTCCTCTTTTTCTATGGTTGTCATTCACGTGACTTATAGTGAAAATTATTGTTTTAAAAGAAATCTAGTGTTCTTAACTCAATGGACCCTAACACATGTTCTACTTTATGACTGTGTTTGTTTCTAAGCATTCTATATCTATGCAAACTCTATATATTACATACTGTGTACTATGTGGATGGATATGTATATTCACTCAGTTTGATTACTTACATGAGTATGGCAGGCTGGATTTGGCCCATATATGTGTAATTTATGTACATGTATATAAAATAATGTGTGTGAGAGAGAGATACACTTGCAGCAGTAAGGCAAACTGGATTTAGCCCATAATTAATTGTGTATGTGTGTGCGTGAGTATACATATATGCAATACTGTATACATGTGTATAATTATATGTATTGTATATATGAACATAATTTCATTTATATTACCACTTGTCTTACTCAGGCAAGTAGTTCTATTGTGTGAATAAAGATCTGGATTTGGCCCATCAAAATACCTACATACAACTCTCTTGCATGTGCACACAATACAATGTGTGTGTGTCCATAAACACATAAAAAGTTGTGTGTGTATATATATATATGCAATATAGTGCATATATAATATTTATATGCAAGTATACAAAATAACATAGTATGTATACTTATGCACATGCTGAAGTAGTGCTTCTCATTTCCTTTTGTTTATAAATTTACATTTCCTAAAATAGTCTTTCATTATTATTTATAAGGCCAATAAGGATCCAGTCCTGCATTCCTTGCACCCCTAAACCTTTCATTGATCTCAGCTGGAGTTTTGGGCTACAAAGAAGGCAAAATCAAGTCCAAAGCGTGAGTGTGTGTGCGTGTAAATTATGTATATAAACAAAGTGAGAGTACAAATATGGCAGAGCATCAGTATTAACCAGTGAAATATGAAGATTGACAGTCATTTGAATGGTCATATGTATGTAGCAGCACTCATAGAGGTGTGAAGGGTGTGAGTCTACCACTAATCACCATTTCATCAGCAAATGACTCCAGAATATTTTGAAGCATCCCAGAAAATGCTATTTGCATTTTTATTTTCCCTCCATGGGAGGTATCTCTCTGTAGTGACTTCTCCTCGGCTACTATATCAAGAACTGTCAAAGCTGTGCTGCCAGGGGACATGTTCTTAAATTCACTTGTGGCACTCAGCCCAATCAGTGGGAGAGCTACCTGGGTAAAAACTGCAGAATCAGACCTCCAGTGTCCTGTTATTACAGTCCTCACAGTAGCCAGTAATGAGGATTTTGGTGGAATTTAATAAAGAATTTAGTTGTTGGGTTCTTGTGGTTATTTCTATTTTTTTAAAAAATATGTGGTTCAGAGTTAATGAAATGTGCAGTGGAAGGTCAAAAGTGCCCCAGAGGCTATCACACCAGATTTCAGAAATAGGAGAAGAAGAAAACAAAAACCAACCCCCCCACACCCCCCGCACCTTTAATGGATCTAAACTCCGGCCAAGCTCAAGTCTGTTCAGATTCCATAATGTTCACCTGGGTTTACATTTAATATGCACTATTCTATGAGAGGAGAAGGGAAGGGAGAGAGAGAGAGAATGAAAAGCTTGACCGGCTGTGTGCACCAAGGAGACCATTTGCTGTTAAAAATCAAATTTCTTCTTTTAAATCGTTTTCCACACTTGTCTGTGGTAACCAAGTAAATGAAATCTTGAAGTGTCCTGGGACCATGTGGCTACATTTGAACCTGCTTACTGAAGAAGGAGGCGATGCTATTAATCAACTGCTAGCAAACAAAAAAAAAAACAAAAAAAACCCAACCCAATAATCCCAGGATATAGAACCAGCCTTTCAACACTACAAATAACAAAGAGATACATTGGTTATGTTTTACTTATTGTCATTGCTACTATTATTTTTAAGTCCTTCAAAAGTAGCAATATAAGAAGAGGAAATCTATAAGAAGGAAAAATGCACATTCAGGTATATAAAATTGCAAAAGGAAATAAAATCAGCAGGTAACAGTATAGCAGAAGCTGCATGGCTCTGATAAGGGAAGACTTCATGCTGCAGAGAAACGAACCTCTTGTTTTTACTTTTTATTTTATGTATCACAAGTAGCCTAATTACAGCAAAACCAGCAAACTGCCAGTTATACAGGAAGAGGCTTAAACTCACTAAACTGTTATATAAATAGAAAGTTCAAAGGTCTGTTTGTGGCTGACAAAGCTGAGAACAGGCCATCTGTGGGCCAGGTTTCTCTGCTGTATGCCTGCAAAAACATACTGCATGCCCCAGCAGCATGCACTTTCAACGTATTTCCTCAACCTGGAGGGGGTGATCCTGCTCTCCAGACAAAGGTGAACTGTTTCAGTCTCAGCCTGTGACTTTTTGGGGTTTTATTTTTATTTATTTATTTATTGCCTTGTGCTGCTGCAGAAGACCTTTTCAGTTACTGTTCTGTTCAAGAGGTCTTTAATAGCTTGTTAAATAAAAACATCTTCTGAACGTTGAAGCAGTTTCTTAAGGGAATGTGTGAAATGGAGTAGATAGATCCTTTTATGAATTGGGATGATTTTTGTGGGAGTTTGAACAGGGAAAAAAAATAAAATGCTGAATGAGAAGATACAGGCTTCGATTCCCCCCCTCCCCCCGCCCCTCTGTTAGAAATATTAAAGTTGAATTGCATTTGTTTTCTGGATTTCTGTTACAGGCATCCCACAGTAATTCTTTTGAAAATGTTTCATTTTCAATTTGCTTTGAAAATGTAAGAGGATGAATTGTGGGACTATGGTAGGTGGGCGATGGGGATTGGAAGCTGTCAAAACAAGCAGCTGTGAGAGCCCAAAAATACGCTTTGGGCCAAATCCTGCACTTCCAAATATCCTGACTTACTAAAATTCTGCCCTGGTTTAAGAATGTGGCCCTTTGTAAATCTTGCACTTGCATCCATCAGATGAGGCAAAATTATGATCACATTTGAGAAATCAGTTTAACAACATGTGAATTGTTTTGCTAATGACTCATTCAAGAATTTAATGACTTTTTAAAATAGACAAATCTGGATGGAGAACAACTGTTTCAGAAATGATTCAGCCATTCCAAAGCCAAACAGAACTTCAGAGCATTTGTACACCTTTCACGTG